GTATTACGAGTTGTTACAACCGGGTGAAACAATCACGGCAGACCGCTACCAACAACAATTGATCAATTTGAGCGATGCATTAGAAGAAAAGAGGCCATTTACTGGCCAAGGACGTCGTAAAGTGATCTTGCTTCATGACAATGCTCGACCACATGTTGCGAAAGCGATTCAGGATCATATCTTTGCGTTAGGCTGGGAACTTCTCCCGCGCGCGGCGTATAGCCCAGACATGGCGCCTTTCGATTACTACCTATTCTGATCGCTGCAGCATCATTTAGCTGATACACATTTCGTGAGATTTGAAGAGATACGAAAATGCATTGATGACTTTATCGCTTCGAAGCCGGTGAGCTTCTATTGTCAAGGAATTCGCAAGCTACCCGAAAGATGGCAAAAGGTCGTTGATGCAAACGGAAAATATTTCGCTGATTAATATTTTTTTGTTTGTTTTTGAATAAAGATTGAATTTTATAAAAAAAAGCTCAGAACTTTTTTGTACACCTAATACATATATAGATGCGTGAACCTATATTGTATTTAATGAGAATCATTTTTATTATGAAAATTATTTATAAATTGTTGAATATGTTTTGTTTATTTGTTTATGAATTTGTCAATAATTGTATTAAATATGGGAAATATTTTTCTTATTTATATATTACAGTTAATTAAGAATGATAATAATAATGTTATTTCATTATTTATTCATCAAAAATGACGATTAAATGACGATATTTATAATGATAATATTTCGTGACAAATGTTTATTTTACGTCATTATTTGGTACACTGACGTCGAATGGCAAAAAAAATCTTAAATTATCGTCATAATGATGTCATCTTGCTACTAGGAATACGACGAAATGATATTCTACACAGATTTTAAACGAATAATCTTAGTATCTTCAGTATGATCACTGTACATTCAATATAAATACAGAATATGAGATCATGTGCTGCTAGGGTATATTCGGTATATTCTAAAGATAAGCTTAAGAATATATGAAAAATGATGTATCATCAAGATGTCATATAAATGTTCTCTGGTATATTAGGCAATAGTACGTATGATCCCAGTACTTTCACGAGTGTAGAATAATATCATGTGCTATTAGGGTAATAAAACTTTTTTATTGTATAAAAGATAATATTTTAATATTTTTGATATTAAATTTAATTGATATAAACAATAATATTATAAATTATTTATAATATTATAAAATATTATAAAAAGTATTTAACTTATAAATGTTATTTAAAGATTAGATTATTAATTTTTTATATTTTATCATTCTTATTTTATTTTTTTTATCATTCTATCATTTTTATTTTTATTTTTTCTTATTTTTATTCTTACTTTTTCTTATTATTTTTATTTTTTATTTTTATTTTTTCTTATTTTTTATTTTATTCTTATTTCTTCTTATTATTTTTATTTTAATTATATCTTATTATTTTTATTTTACTTGGATCAATTATTTGTTTTTGACTTTTTTCGTTTCTTATTTTAGTAAAATTCATTTTTGATGTTCGTTTACGCAGGACTGCAAGCAGAGCATCCAAAACAGGACTTCCTGGAAATAGCTGCGCAGATGAGATACATTCCTGCGTGAAATACATTCTTGCGAACTGCGCTCCAATCACTTTTGCGGTACAGACGGTACAGACATTATAATCAGATTGGCCACGAAAAGGCAATTTTTGATTAGTCCGCCATCTTTTGGCTATTTCCACTTATTTTCAAATACATTAACTACATTAATCTTAAATTGTAATATTAATATATAATTTAAAAACATAAGTGTTTTAAAGGTAATAAAATGTGTATATTTATAAAACTTTATTTTACATAATTATATTATCAATTTATTAATATATATCCTTTAATTTTAATGATTTTAAATTGATTTATTTATTTTTTTTTGCTATTTATCTTTTTCAACACAAGAGCAAAAATTAATATAATACTATTATACTACTGTTACACTATAATATTTTTAACTTTTTGCCACACAATTGTCAAAATGATCCTCTGTAAAATCAATACAATGATAGCTATTCACAAAGTTAGCGCAACAAGAGAATCCATCACGGAAAAGCGTTAACAATAAACTTTGAGGAAATTTCGAAAGATGTAAGTATCGATGTCATGCCTTTTTTAGAAA